CAACCTTTACGCAAACCAATGTTCACACACCATATTGCTCTACACAACGAGCGTTGACGCAACACAGCCTCTACGCAAAACCGTGTTAACAAACCTTACCACACCACATGCTCTAGTAACCTCTCCTCGCGACGCAGGCACTCTTATGCGGAGCGCGCGCGCGTGACATACGACCGCACTTGGTTTAGCACCAGGCAAGTCTTACACACCACGGCTCTCACATACACCAGTGTTGACAAACCTGCACGACACCGCACGTTGTAGCACCCCCTCCTCTCCGACATAAGTCCCTTCTCTCACACACCACGCTTGATACAGCACCTCACATATATTCCTGGTACTTCTCTGCCTTTCGTGTTTCCCTGTCTCAAGTTGTATTCCACAGTGGGTGCCTTTAAATAGAAGCTGCCAAGATGCCCACCCAGTCAAGACTTCATCCCAAGGAAATTCCTTCAACGCAACGTCTGTAGCCACTCCTTCCTCTATCCGCACTCGCGCCGGTGGTGTTTTCATTTCTCTGTGTTTTTTTGCGTCAGATGCCAATGCTGACTGGACCACCAAGCCGTAGCTGTAGCTCTTCCGAGTTCCGCTTCTAAAAACGGCAACGGTGGACGGAGCTATACACAAGCCTTTTCCTTCAGTCACGTGTCCACCACAGAAAAGGTGGCAGTGTACACCAGCAGTGTGAAGTGGAAATCCGACGAACCGCTAACACAGCCTGATAAGTGCCTTTTAAGTCCAAAAGCAATCAACAAGTATAGTATGCAATGTGGCACCCCCGACATTGGAATCGCTGTATGATTACGTAATTACGCCAGGATTCATCTGGAGGAAAGTAGTTGGTACCATATGTGTATATTCACGGCGGGCCCCGAAAGCTCTATCTTTTGGATAGTTCTCAGGGTATCTATAGGTGTGAAAGGACTTGTTACTTTCCTTTGGATATGTTGTTAGAGTGGTTTGGGGATTTCGGGGTCCCAGGTAATACATCACCACAACAGTTCATCAGCATTGTTGAACTAGGCAATGAGTTGAAGTCCTAGAGACATATAGCCTTCTCAAGATTAGGACACCCTTTTGCACTGGATGAGCCAAATCCTGCAAGTGACCTTGAAACCTGCACAGACTCGAACATATCAACCAGACCAACGTTTTAATCTTTCGGCAATCGACCCACAAAATCTACCTGTGCCAGGCATGTGCCTCCTGAGGTTTCTGGACCCCAAGTAGGCAGCAAGCTCATAGATCAGCCTTTCTTTGCATGCCATCAATCAAATCACGAACCTGGAATGAACCGTGGCATCTTGAAGATTTCCAAGGAAAGGGCCTCCAAGCGGAGGCAGTGGTGCAGAGATCGTCTCAATCCGCAAAGACATCCCACAAACACCACTTCGTGCAGGTTCCTCCTAGTATCCAGTTGGCGAAGCTTGCCGAGATCTTTCGTTTGCTAGGGCAACATGATCAGGACAGGGTGCTTTTTGCTTTGAACATGTTTTCATTTGCAGAGAGCTCAGCTTCTCGAATAACTTCTTGTACAATCGCCTTGCTTTTCAGGTACGCGCGATGATGCCAGAACAGAATATGTCTTCTGAGCAGCAGAAACTTGTCCTGGGTTTCATGTGACTTTGACCTCTGACTTAGCTTCGCTTCGTCCTTCGGTAGGAGGCTATTGCTAGTTAAGTTTCCCTCAATATCTAGGAACCAAATCAGTGCGAGTGCTTCTTCAAGGAAGCTCCCCGCCGCCGTCAGGCAGGGGCAGATTCCTTGAAGAAGCGTGAGCCATCCTGCGTCCATGCTAGTAGCTTAAGTGAGGTAGTAGCTACCTCTCCCTTACTGTACTTTAAGTAGGCGCCTACTGAATGGCTTAAAAAGAGAGAAAAAGAAGGGGCCTTGCCTTCCCTTTTTTCATGTATATGTATGTGTATATGTATATATTCTTCCTTTTATCGTGCTTCCTGCCCCTTGTTCACACTGAGGACCCTTCTCTCGCATTTTGCGTGCGAGCAGGTTGACAAATGGCTGCAGGAGATGGCACTTTGAGCTTTTCCTGTGTTACACCCATCAAATCTCACCCTCACGAATAAAGTAATGTTGAGCAACTACTGTGCGTTCAGCAACTAGGTTTCAGCAACTATTTTGTTGGTTTCAGCAACTGCGGTTCAGCAACTGCGGTTCAGCAACTCCCTGGGTTCAGCAACTGCGGTTCAGCAACTGGTTTTGTGGGTTTCAGCAACTGGTTTTGTCGGTTGCACAAACTGGTTTTGTCGGTTTTGGCAACTGGTTTTGTCGGTTTCAGCAACTGTTCTTGTCAGTTTTGCAATGGATATTGGGGGTGGGGGGGGGGTGGGGCCGGGAATAATGACGTCCGTTGCGCATGCTACGCAGACATAGCTCTTGGTTTCCCAGTTTCCGAAGCACACGTTCCCACCGTTCCCAGTTGCCGAACCACAGTTTCCGAACATAATTGGCGAGTTGCCGAAACCCACCTTTCCAGTTTCCGAAATCCTTTCCGAAACCCAAGTTTGAGCTTCTGAACCACAGTTTCCGAAACCCACGCTTTAGTTTCTGAAACCAGAAGAGTGAAGGTGTACCGTGGTGTACCTAAACAGATCTAAATGGGCATGACTGGCCAGGATGACGCACATTTGTGTAGTTATGGCATGTTTGAGTATTGTTTTTTCACTTCCATGCTGGGGTGTTTGTGTGGTGTTAGTGTTTCGTGCTTCTAGCTGCCACTTTTTTGTCGCAGTAGGACAGCAATCGCTGTTTATTGACACTCGGGTTCTGATATTTGATTCGGAATTAAAGCAGGTTGGAGAGATCAAGGCCTCCACTGAGCAATGCATAGCACAACCATTGCTCTTGATTCCTTTTAATTTTTGCAACGCATCATGACAATCCGATGCCCCAATCATCCAGACACGGGCATTGCCACTCCCAAGAACGAATCCGGTCTATTCAAACGCAAACTCCCAGCAGTTCCTTTTCCTCACGCTCTGGAAAGCTTCAGATCCAATCCGAACACAAGCAGACAAAGCAGGCCCCTTTAAAGTGGGACCAATGTTTTTCACTTATATAATCGAGCGAGCCAGCCTGCACTTGCAAGTCTGAAGTCTTCAGGTTTCTGTGCTCCATGCTTTTGGTTGCAGCTTCAACTCACCGTGAAGCTACGGTTTCAAATTTCAACACAAGAATTCAATAAAGCTTTCCTTTGAAAGCTGTGTGTCGTGAAGCAAATCCACCAGGGCAAAGAATAATAGGCCAGGCAACAGCAACAATGCACCATTGCCAGCACCTCTTGCTTGCGAGTCTGCACAGGAGCAGCGGACGCAACTGCAACAGTTGCGACAAATGCAGCAGCTCCAACAAATGTAGTGCACACAGAGTCTCAGACTTCATGCATTTTCACCACAGAGTCTGCAGCACCCAAGTGGAATGCATGAGAGTCAGTCTTGTGAAGGCAGCGTCAGATGCAAGAGCTCCAGCCAAAGCTGCAGCAAATGCAAGAGAAACTTGGCGCAAGTTGGGAAGTGGACTCGACGCAAAAGGTGCGCTTTAGCACCTTGTCTGTGTGGAAAGACGTTTGTGTTTAAGGATGGTCAATCGCTTCATGAACGCTGCGTATGTTGTTTGGATCTCAGAGCTTCCAACGTACGTGATTTGCTTGCACAATATGTCCTGGGACAAAAAAAGATTCTTTCCCCTGTACGGGGTTCCTACACCTTGAAGCTACTAGGTTGGAGGAGTAGGTTGGAGGCCATTACTAGTAACTAGTAGTAGCAAGAAGCTACTAGGTTGGAGGCCATCGCTTCTAGGTTGCCTGGGTCGCCTGGGTTGGGTGGAAGTTGAACAAAAGACCTGTTGAGACCGGGGCCAAGAAGCAAGGAGTTTGCGGTGCACCGCACAGGAAATGCAGTTTGGTTTGAAGTTGGTGTGATGAAACGCCTCTAGTGGCATTTATTCAGCACAAGAGCCTAGCTGGACTGATCTTGGTGACATAACATATGCAAAAAAAGCTGATCTTCTGCCACGGTGCTTTTTTCTTGTACTGGATCTACGCTGGAATATTTTGGCACTTAATTTCCAAGTGGTGGAATTGTCTCCACGGGTTTATATAATCGAACTGCTGACTGAGCTTGTGAGTTGGAGTTTGCGAGGCCCAGCAGGTGCCACCATTGCAATCGCACCAGCTCACAGCCATGCCTGCTTATGTTCATCCTCCAGCACCTGGTTTGGACTTGCCACCTGGTATGTCTCAACCTCAACAGTTTTTGTGTCTTGAGCCTTTGACTAATCCGCAAACCAAATCCAGAAAACACAGCCTTTCACCAAAGCAGTTTGGCTAGGCTGCTTGGCCCTTCTTGAACCAGTTTTCCTTCGGCACAGCCATTGTTTCAGGTCCGACCCCGGATGTCCTGCTCCTTTGGAGTCTTTAGCTTCCTATAGCCGGCCTCTGAGAGTAGTCGGCGTCAATGGAGCACTTTACTCGTGCTTTGCCAGGAGCAAATATTTTTTTAGTGTATCATTTTTTAGAATTACTTTGTCCCAGGTGTGGTCAGGATGCGTGGTAGATTTCATCCTTTGCACCTCAGTCTTTCTCAATGTCAATGTTTTGTAACCAATTTCAAACATTCATGTATCATTTTTGAGAGAACAGGTGGACACAAAAAAGCTCAATCACACCAGGAGTCATACCTCCAAGTGCCAAAAGAAAATGGTGTGAGTAAATGTGAATCAAGGAAGGAACATCGTACATATTTGACAGCGCCTAGATTTGTGTCCAGCATGGAGGAAGTTCGGATTGAAAGTGCGTAACTCAAGTCAAGGACTGTCAGCTGCTTTAATTGTACTTCTCAAGGTCAGATGGGCATGCCAACAGGTTGCCCGGCTGGAAACATTGCAGGCCGGAAACCGATTACACCGTCAATGGGCTTCCTTGAAACAGGCCAGTGTCTAGGAAGGCGAGACAGACACTTGAATCACCTGATCAAATTTTTCAGATGTCCTGACTGTTGTTGTATTTTGTGTTTTGTGTTTTGTGTTTTGTTGCTGAAGCCTGTGTATATGATTCTCAGAGCGCACTGGTTGTGAATCTCTCGTCAAGGCCACGAAAAGATTTCGAGCGGCAATATGGACATGAAGCACTCAGCCCGTGTACCGATCTGAGCTGAAACCTACTTGGAGGCCATCACTCTGAGGTTGGAGGCCATCGCTAGTAGGAGGGAGGCCATCGCTATTGAGGCGCACCGTAGCTGGAAGGGCTGAAACAAAGAGTCAAGGGGCTGCACAAACGGAACTAGGTTCTGGTCCAACAGAGCTGCCCTGCTTTGCATTTTCGTTTTTGTTGAGCAATACACGCACACACACACACACACATTTGTCCACATACGTACACATAGACTATACCTACCCTTGCACATGATGCCTTTAGTGTGTCAAATCCCCAGGATCTCCTGCGCATCAAGAACTTTCAAAGCTTGGCATAAGGACCACTAGAATGGAGCTCCGTACCATGTCGACGCTCCTTTTTGTTTGGACATGTCTAAACTGTTTGAGGGCCAGAGGGTTTCACACTTATGTCATTTGAGTCATGTCCTAATGTGTCATAATGGTCCGGCTTTCATTGATCTCGGTGACGCTGATATCGCCACCTTTTTATCAAGATTCTTCTGAGGCTCAAACCCGTGCTAATCATGTCCACACGCAGAAGAAGAAAGGCTGAAATTGAACAGTTCCTGAGATGTGCAGTTCAAAGCACAAGCTGCAATGTGTTTATATACATTGACATGACTCTTTCATTGATTTTTTCACCGATGCTTACAGGCTGGCTCAACTCTGAGACTGAGGCCTGTGGACTGTGCCCTCGACAAGAAAAGCACTATCACAAGTCTAAGAAGAGATGGTCTGTTCAATGGGGGCCCTTACTTACTTTCAGATTAACACATGCAGCCCTGCTTTCTTTCTTCTGCAGGAAGCAGCCCAGTCTTCTTCTCCACCATCGAGTTCTACAGAGAAAACAAGCCTTCATGCGGTAAGCCCGGCGGATTGCACTTTTGCAAGGGAAGGGGCAGTTCCTGAACACAAGTCTTGGTGGAGCAGCTTTGGTCGCGGCTGAAGGATAAAAAGAGTACGTTGGGAATGCACCTGACGCAGCTTCAGACGGAAGATCCCAAGCTTATGACTTAGTGCATCAAGGCAGAATAGCTGTCCACTTAGAATTCTACCGGATCAGGTGCGTTTTCATTGCGTTGGGGGCCAAGACACAGACACTGGAGATGTCACTTGAAAGCCATTTTAAACTTGAAGTCTTTAAGTCTTATCAACGGCATTAACACCGCATATTGCTGTTGTGAGGCGTCGTATCAACGGCATGGGGTTCGAGTCGAAGGACTCAGGGGGAGGGCCTCAGCATATGTGAAGCCTTCAGATGCCTTCGCTGAAGCCGACTTTCAAGTTAAGTTTTGGGAAAGATATGACGTGGAAAGATGTGAAGCAGGTACAGCTGTGAAGACATTGATTGTCTTCTGACCGTGTTGCCCATGTTTGGTCGCTCCACAAGCATAATGCTGAGAGCTGAGTGATTGGCAGGATGTGCTGAGTGCTCACTACGAGCAATACGGCAGAGTATTGAAAGTGCTAGTTGCACACTCCAAGGCGAATCGGAGACTTAGTGCGTCAAGAAATGTCAGTAAGATTTAGGAAGCGTCTGCTGGAAAGCAAAAGGCTTCATGAGTGCCAAAATGCAGTTTCTTTTTTGGTTGTAGGACCTGGTGTGGCCTTGTAGGAGGAAGGTCAGCAAGGTTAAGGTTTTGACACGGGTTTTGGGTTGAAACATCAAGATGTTGTGAGACTTCTGATTGCTTCACAGACAAAGAACATAAGGACCTCCATTTTCCTGTCATTTCTCACAGGAGCCAAAGGAAATTGAATCAAAGGCATCTCAATATGAATTCAACGGGAATCCTCAGGAATTCTGTTTGGTTGAGATGGGGTCAGGGAAAATGACGGTCCCATTTGTAAGCTTTTGAAACCATTGTTTGTTGTAAGAAATATATGACAACTCATTTTTACTTAAATGTAACACATTTCTCAGACCGTGACCATGCTTTTTCTTTATGTGAAATCGCAGCGCCTTTCCAAAGCAACTCAAAATTACACTAAAGGAAATGAACAGGAATCAGCATGAAGCAACAAAGGCTGTTCAATGTTTGTCATTGGGGAATGTGCACCTGATTATCTCTACAATTGGCCAATATTGTATGTGAACAATGGCCAGGTTGATGTATGCTTCACTGTAGATCCGACAGAAAGGAGCATTGGCGGCCTTCAAAACTGCATGCATATGCATGTATGTACACTGTATACAACAAATGCTGAGTGAAACGACGGAGCTAAGCCAATCAAACATGCTCCAGCATATCCATCCATCTACACACAGTTGCTTGATGGCTTTCGTCTTGTCTAGATGCTTCTGGAAGGGTGAGAGCTTGGCAGGTGAAGCCATTCCGCAGACAGGGTGCACAGTCTCGAATTCGACCCGGCAGCAGGGCCCCAAGCAGAGGCAGCATGGACAGAACGCACACGCAGAGCAGCATTTTGAGCATCATGTCACTCCCAAGGCCTCGGGTTCATTGTTATGGACTCTCCACAAAGCGTTTGGACCTTAGGCTTATTCACAGCCAGATGGCCAGATGCAATTTTACAGTCTGATATTGCCTCAGGTGGAGAACATCCTGGCTGTTGGAGCAAATCAGTTTGTTCGGGGGTACAACATTAGTCCTGGGCTTGGTATTTCTAGTCAGATTCTCGACACAGGCATTTGTCACCTTGCAAACTGATCGATGCAAAGTCTGTTTTCAAGTTGTCGATCTTGTAGATATACGTAGTCCTTTCAGTTTCTCTCTTCAAGATGCAAGGTGTAGAGCGCTTCGAAAAGATAGCGAAGCCTCAGGATGCTGGTCAGTCTACGGTGCCTTGGACATGCTCAAAGTGTGCTAGCAAGGATGCCAAAAAATACATTTTGGTGCGTTTCTTCTTTGCAAAAGTAAACATGTTCTTCTTTTTCTCACATCTCCAAGAGCACTTGCAGGCCGGCGATTCCACCACTACCCATGGTGGTTCCACAACAACAGGTTCTGGATCTGGGTCTGGAGGCCTCATCGGGAGTTTCATGTGGGGCCTAAGAGGTTTGTCTTCAAGCTTGGAACTTGGAACTACTGTTGAGCTCCATAGTCAAAGAAAGTGTCAGTGTCAAGTTTGATACATGCAAAGATATGCAACATATGATGTTGAAGTCGAGTTTTCAATTAGTTCCAGTTTAGAGCCACAGTCTGAGGCAAGGCATGACCCTGCCAGGTGACTCCAATGGCTCAGACAAGAGCTCTGCTGCTGGTGCCAATGGTCTTGGTGAGAGTGGCTCTGGGGGTTCGGAAGAAGGCTCTGACAAAGGCCTGGCCAAGAGTTTATATATAAATATACTTCTACCTTACTTTTTCTTTTCCAAACTTTGTTCGACTCTTTGAACATGCTTTGTCTTGGCAAGACTTTCAAGTATTAACTACAGCATGCTTGTCATGTTCTTGCATGGGCATATGGTATACACAGCTGAAGAACAAGCTTGTTTCTTTAATCAGCATGCTCACACAGCGAATTGATTGAATAGATCCATTATGTAATCGACAGTATTCCTTGATCGCTGGTACTAGAAGTGCAGCTCAGCCTACAGGCAATGGCTTCTCAGCTGATGGCTCTCAGCAGAAGGCTGAGGCGCGCAGCCAACACCTACACAGCAATGAACAAATCGTGTATTTTTTTAAATGTATTTTTTAACGGCGTTTAGGGGTTGTAATATATATATATGTATTTAATGTTTATGTATTTTGGGGGGTAGGCCGGTAGTAGAGGTGAGGTAGGTAGGTTAGCTAGGTAGCTAGGTAGCCAGTACCTACAAGTAAGCTACTAGTATGGACGCAGGATAGCTCACCCTTCTTCAAGGAAGCTCCCCCGCTGCCTTTAGGGCGGCGGGGGGAGCTTCCTTGAAGAAGCGCTCGCGCTATTCATTTGGTTCCTAGATTTTTAGGGAAAACTTAACTAAAAGCAATGGCATGCTTCATCCGTCATTCAGGGAAGCTCCGAAGACTCAAACGGTGGAGATGGCGACTGGCAGAGTGAGTCCAGTAATCGAGCGACGTCATTGCCTGAGAACACCGAGATGACCAAGAGGATGAAAGATGCTGAGTCAAGAGTCAAAATGTAAAGATCCACGCCACGCAAAAGGTTTTCGGGTCTACCTTTCCAAAAGGGGATTTCAAGGGGCCTTTTCTCAGCTATATACTTTTGATCCACACCCACCCAGATTAGTAGTCACTAGTAACTGTCAGCTGCTCTGGAGTTAGAGAGTGAAAGGGCAAAGGGGAACAGAAACATCTACAGAAACAGACACATCGTGCCAACCTCCCGAGGTCTCCTGGGACAGGCAGGAAGAAAGAGGCCTTCGAAGAGGGGGTGCTGCCTGGTTTGGGGCTTGGACGGCTTCATACCAGAGCTTTTGTTTCTTTTGTGTTTCCCCAACATCGTCTCGATATTCCAGAACCAAGGTGAATCCGAGAAGCCAGACAGCTGATGCTTGGCATTGGAGCTCATGCTCAACCAAAAACTGGCTGCTCTGTGGCAAAGCAAAGCCAAAGTAGCAAAAACATGAATTGACATACCAAAGCAAGTGAGAGGCAGGACAGGTACGACTGCTGAGGCAGCGATAAGCTTTCAGTTCACCAGGGGGCTGGATGCCCCGGCAAAGTGCCGCCGTGACCTCAACTCGCTTTTGTTGAAGCAACCAGGTTGCGTTGCGTTGTGTGACTCCAACTCTAAGGCTTTGACTTCAGGTCCTTCTGGGATTGTGCTGGAGTTGACCAGGTCGTACAGCTGTGAAAGTCCTGTCTGCCAGCACCCTTGCATCATACTTTTTTTTTTTGTTGTCTGGCAATTAAGTATTCTGTTTTTTACAGGGTACTTTTGATACATGCCACTTGCGGGGATAATATATATGTGTGTGGAGCAGACCAGCAGCAAGCCATTGCTGCGCTGGAGATGTGCCTCTCCTTCGTACAATGGAAGCCAGACATGATGTTGACCATGAAGAATGCGTGATATGTCAAGGTGGTTTTGTTTGAAGTCTGGCTTCTGTGCCACATATCGTAAAAACTTTTTTCATATAAGTTTGCACGACCAGGGTATCAACCGCTGGTCCCGTTTGTGCCTGCGTGGCTGAAGGTTCGTCACGGCCGCAGGTAAGGCAAGATGCCTTTCTGTTCTAGAAGCAGATGCCTTTCGGTAGGTGAGATGCAGGAATTTGAGAAGAGGAATATCTCAAATATGAGATGAAAGAGGAATGAAGGCTAGATTCTAAGCAGGCTCGCAACAGGCTTTGCTCAAAAAGCATTGTCGGATTTGCTCTTCAAGGCCAGAGGCGGCTAAAGGAGAGTTGGACAGATTGACAGAGTGGGAGAAAGACGAACTTTCTCCGCTTGAAGTTGAACATACAATGATGATACATGATGTATATCATGACATCTTAATTACATGATATATCTTGTGATATCGCATTGTATAATTCATTCTATACTTCATTCCTGACATTTTTTGCTTTCGTTCCAACTTGGAAGCCATCAAGGCCGGAGTGCAGATTAACAGGCAATCACGAGCAGTATGGAATTGCGACAAAAATGCCTGGCTTGTAAAGGCCTGGATCATCTTTTGAGGCAAGGCTCTTAAGGCTTGTAGTGCTGTTGGTCCGGTGTCAGCTGAGCGGTGTCTTCCTCAGCGGTGCTTGTCCGCAAAGACAAATCTGATCTCGGAAGAAAGAATCTGAACAGAATCCAAATAGTTTTGTCCACAAAATCAGTCGAATCCAGTTTTGTCTTTGAGTACTGCTGCTGGCAGTGCCCTCTACTTGCGTGCGCAAAGGAGGGCACCGGACGGCACAAGGAGTCAAAGCTTGCCTCAGCCAGAGAAGGTCTCAACGTCTCAACTGTGAGAATCCGGCACAGATTTGAAGCAGAGCTACCTTTCACATGCACGGTGAATGCTCAGCTGTAGAGTGCAGTTGCGACTCGTGTTGTTTCGGAATATAGACACCTTGAAAGCCAATCCAATCTTATGTGCAATTTCCTTTTGTGTTCAGACTATTTTGATCCGAAAGCCCAGTTGAGAATGGGAGAATGGAGTCATTTGTTGTCGTTTGAGATGCAGCTCGAGTCCTCGCACCAGCATTTCATAGCAGTTTTGATTGGCTCACTCGGCCCTTAGTGTACAACAACATTTCATACCAAAAGTCAATGTCGTAGACTACGGCCAAAAACACACTCTAGACTCTAAGCATCTCTAAGCCGTACTTTGGGACAGCTTTTGGTGAGTGAGCCATTTCGGTGTGTTTGAACAACCTCTCAGACCGATGCCACGACAGTTGTAGCACTTCTTGCTCCTATGTGTAACACCAAGCCCCATGTTCAAACCAAATCTGACAATCTTGAGACCACCCAGTTTCGACGTGCCTGAACAAACTGCTGTGGCATTTCTTTCAAGAACTGTTGAGCCATAATTTTGCAGTTACAGTCGTTGAAATTGTGCAGACTAATTGTCGACATTTGTGCCGTTGTTGAGCATGTGTTCTCAGAATGCGGAGCCACATACTTCTGGGAACTTGAATCGCAATACACGTACCAACATGTATGCCAACGACTGTCCATTCTGCTCACATTCAGACACTGGCTCGTATTCTTGCAGAGAGCAATGAAAAAGATTGTGCAGCCTGCTTGACGGTGATGTTGGTTGTGTTAGGCTATGTTAGGCTCAATTTTGTGAGAGTTCGTTTTGTTTCGCATCAGAGTGGCTCAAGTGCAGCACCGGTGCTAGCTTCGGCTCCTTGCACAAGATGTGGGCCAGGCATTCCATGCTGTGACGTTCCCTAGCCAATCGGTGCCCAGTGCCCCAGCCAAGATATGCCATACTTTTCCCCATCCCGATCAAGAAGCAGAGAGGGGAGCAGAGCGAGAAGAGGGAGGAGCGCTGAGAGGAGCTCTGAGAGAAGAGACTTCCGAGATCGCAGAGATCGGAGAGAAGAAGAGAGAAGTGTTGAATTTGGAGATCGGAGAGATCGTAGAAATGGCTCACGATACTCACGTAGCCCAAGGGAGAAAGGCCGAGGGAGGAGAGACTCTCGACGAAGAGAAAGGAGGGACTCTCGCTCTCCTCGAAGGCGAGAGGCGCCACGAGACACTCTCGCTGCATCTCATGGATCTCAGCGAAGAGAGGATCCTGAGTCAAAAGTGGTGGCAAAGGAGGAGCGCACAGAGCGAAGCACAGAAGAAGAGCACAAAGAGCACACAGTTCAAACAAAAGTGGTGGAAGGAATTGTGACGCGAGCGGGGGCTCAGACGTATTTGTCAGAGATATATGTTCCTCGGTTGCCTCCACTGCGACCCGGCACCATTTGTGTTAGAGGTCCCTTGCGCTTTGAGAAAGATATTGCTGAGGATGACCGCAACCGTTTAGCAAAGGCGCATGCAGAGGGCGGCTACAAAAAAGTCCAGGAGATTCGCAACCTTCTTCGTGCAGAAGCTCGCTGAAGCTTTGATGGGCTTAGCGCAATCATGCGCGATCCGATGGTGAGACAGAGACATAAAACAGAGACTTAGCGACATGCACTTTTCTTGACTGGCTTGCTGATAAAAGTCGATTTTGGGACATGTGAACAGGGCTGGCAAGCCGCAGAACTCAAAGCCATCCAGAGAAAAACGATTTGTGCCATGATTCATGATGTAGTGTCGATGCACGACATGGTGTTTGCAGGTGCACATAATCCACTAGCCTAAGCCAGCATGAAAGTTGTCAACATGATCTGGAGTGCTACCACATGAGGCGGATTCTTGCTTACTTCATGGTCCAAAAGCATTGAATGTCTCTTGCAAAACACTTAACTTAGATAGACGGTGCCCAAATTGATTAAATGCGAGCCCGAAGATGCAAGTTTATTGCTCTCGCAGCGCTCACTGCTGGAATCTTGGTTCTCAAAACGGGCAGTTCACAACACTGGATAATTCTTGCTGTTGACGATTTGAAGATGATCAAGGTGTCATTATCATTGAGACGATGGTGCTTTTGTGGATATGAGGCAAAGGAAGTACAAGGGATATCAATAGATCAATTGTTCGGACAGAAGCGGTATGGTCAACAAGACTACAACAGACTTTTTGCCAGGTGAGGCCGAGGAGAAGCTGGAACCAACTTGGGTTTATTTACGCGACACTGATTTACCTACTTACTTTCTCTCTTTTAACATTTTGTCTGAAATTCTCAGCAAAAAAACAGGGGTTGAGATGCACGCTGTGCATCAGTTTTCATGTGCAGTTCATGACATGTCACGTCATGATCCGTGTTTTTCACAAACCCCGACCCGCCGCCAGAAGGGCGGGCTCAAGCGCCTGAAAAGGCTACGTGCGGCGCCCACCGCGCCTTCAGTGCTTCGCTTGTTTCGTTGCACTTGGTTTTCTTCGGTCGTGGACTTCGTGAGCTACACCACCAATTCGACATTGGTAGCGGAGCCACCGGTCTGGTGGCTCCCTGCCTGCGCACTTCGCGACGACGAGCTGTTTGTCCCTGCTGAGACCTACGGTGAGGTCGGCAGTTCTCGCCCTGGCCTGGTGGCTTCTACTTCTTGCGCACCACACCCGGGCAGAGACCTTTGTCCCTGAGAATGTCAACGTACACATGGCTCCCAAGAGGAGCAGCCGCAGGCATCGGGACTGAGCTCTACAAGAGATGGCACGACATACAGACATGGACTTGAGGGACAGTTCCGACCGGCCGACTACAAATGGCGAGGATACAGCTCTATCATCGCAAGATGATGCTGACAAAGCGGGGCTCCGAGAGAGTGCTGAACATGTGGGCTCCTTCGCTGGTGTCACCTGGAGGTTGTTCCAAGAGTGGGGGATCGAAGCACTGGAAAAGGAAGACGCTTTCAAGCGAATCATCGAGACCCTGGATGACCAAGGTACACTTGCCCACCGATTTTGAGGCGTACTTCAATTTGTTGCAGCGCGCCCCAGGCCAGACATTGTTGCTCTATGTGGCCGATCACGAAGAACCTTATCGAAAGCTGCAACAGCACCGCGTTGATCTTCCAGCCGCTGTCCAAGGATGGCATCTCCTCCGCCGTGCCGGGCTCTCAAGAGAGCGACGACAGCTCACCACCCTGAGAGCACCCAACCTGGAAGAGAACGAGGTGATTGAAGCGCTCCACTTGATCCTTGGCCAGGATTACAATGGTGGGGGCTGGAATGCTGAACGGAACCGCCGCTACGCCAATCCCACTCCTGGAAACATCATCGAGCATACAAGGCCGATGACTGCGACGACGAGGTCTACCAGGACGATGAACAGTGCATGGGAGCACGGTTTCTATGAGGAGGATGAGAGTTGGGCTGATGAACAACAAGACTATGAGGTCTATGATGAAGGTCAGGACTTTGACCATGACGCCGGCTACTATGGAGAAGAAGAACCATGGCCGGACAACGATGAAGTGAAGAGTCCATCACAGATGGCAGCAGCCTGTAACGCCGCTTTCGCCTCCTACACGGACGCCAGAAGACGGTTCCAAGAGCTCAAAACAGCTCGTGGCTATCTTCCCATCGTGGCCCTGACCGGTGGATCTTCCCCAAATGCCACTTCGCCCGCAGCGACTACCTCATGGAGAACAAAGGAAAAGGGAAGGGAGGATCCAAGGGTAGTCAAAGACGCCAAGTCGCCCTCCACATCATCCTCGTGGACGAGCCAAGGGCCAACGCGAACTGTCTTCGATGTGGCCAAGCTGGACACTGGGCTGCCAATTGCCCACAGGGATCAAGTCCCACTTCACGGAATCCTGGAGTGAAGCGCCCAGCGTCATCCACTACCACTGAGGCCATGGCTATGACGCCGTCGCTCAACGAGAGCGCGCTGCTGATCTTCCAGGACTCAACTGGAGCTGAGCTGAGCGGCCGGAATGCGTGACGCTAGATCTTGGGCTTTCCTCTCTGGCTATGGGCCCCTTCCGGAGGTTTCTAGACCACCTGCGAACTCATCTGGACTTTCCCACCCACACCATCAAGATGAGCAAGGGCCGGAGATGCTTTTAGTTCGGAGGTGATGCATCCATGTGGTCAGACAGGTCCGCGCGCATTCCCACCTTGCTGACTGATGAAGGGCGAGGCTGGCTGAGCAACCAGATGGATGAATGGACATCAGCTCATAATGTCAAGCGCAAGCCCATCACACTGACCAAGGGTCGAGATCTCGCGACTCGCTCTCCGAGAAGGAGATCACACAGGTCCGAGGCTTGCTCAGTTCAATGCAGTGGCCTGCGGTGCAGACTGCCCCACATCTGCAACGCTCAACCTCCATGATGTCAGGGAAAAGCCACCGTGAGCACTGTCGTGGAGTGCAACAAGCTGTTGAAATTTGCCAAGGAGCACAAGGATGTGAGTCTCTACTACAACCCGATTGGACACTCCACTGAGCTGCAGCTACTGTGCTTCTTCGAAGCCGGCTTCACTGCCCAATCAGATGGCAGCTCGCAGGGTGGCTATATCCTGATGCTCGTCATGAAGAGGCAAGGATGGCGAATATCATGTGCTCGACTGGCGCAGCTTCCACACGCTGAACCCCGACCTCAAGTTGTCATCCACTTTGACACCAACTATGGTGATAGATGTAAAAGCTTTTACACAGGGAGGGAGTGAGTTCTTCAGTGGTCGACAACCGAGTCTGGAAATTCGCGTGATGAAGGAAATGCTTGAAGACCTCGGCGGTCATCTTCGATGGATGAGCTCAGAGAGACAGATAGCTGATGGACTCACCAGAATCAGCGCGTGCTCTCGTTGCAGCCCGTCTACGACACTGTCGTGTGAAGCTCACATGGGACCCCAACTACGTGGCTTCAAAGAAGAAAACGAAGAATGAAAAGGCCAAGGCCATTGCAGAGACCACCCTCAGTGCACCACCTCTCAACCATGAGTCTGTTGAGAAACAGGACCCGGTTCCACAGAATGTCAACGCTGATGAATACCCGGAGATCCTTGAAGGTGAAGACGCGCGCAAGAATGAAGAGATTCCTGCGGAAAGACCGTGGAAGCTCTGTCCCATGTGATACAGTGTACGCCGTGAGCCATGGCAGCTGCTCCCAGGACTATGTCAAGAAGAGTCGCAAGCCGAACATCTTGTGGCTACTGACGCTGCTTTCCATGGCTGTGTTGGTAACTGGCCAACAGCGCGAGAAAGGTGAAACTTCAGTAGACCAAGGTGATGATCACCTATGGCTGTGGCTGGCCATTCTGGCCCTGTTGCGTGTGCTGTTCATGATCGGTGTCTTCTTTGCCGGACGATGGAGCTTTCGCAAAGACACCAGGATAAGCCCGAGACCAAGGAAGCCCAGATTCAAAAGGACGAACCGATAGTTCACTCTGGACTCCGTGATCTCCTCCAGCAAGAAAAGTATAGAGCTGAAGAAGCCCTACGCGCAGCACGGGAATCCCGGTCTGCTCTCAATTTGCAGATCGATGAAGTCCAACAACTTCGAGGGCTGATCACCGGCTCGAGATGGAGCTCCACACCTCCATGTGTCCCTTCGCGTGGCCCATTGTCACATCAAGGACCGCCTCCTGTTGGCATCACGAGACATGCCACTTTGTGGAGCAGATGACTGGTCAGCTGCTGGTGCGCCGGGCCTGTGCCTACTGTGCCATGCATCGTCCACCACCCGATTGCCCAGCACAACGCTGAGTTGGATGCTTTCCTGCTCGCTTCTGCGCCGTGGCTGCCGCAAGAAGGGTAAAGACTACCCTCCGTGTTGAGATGCACGCTGTGCATCGGTTTTCATGCGCGGTTCATGACATGTCACGTCATGATCCGTGTTTTTCACAAACCCCGACCCGCCGCCAAAAGGGCAGGCTCAAGCGCCTGAAAAGGCTACGCGCGGCGCCCACCGCGCCTTCGGTGCTTCGCTTGTTTCCAATTCGGCACAGGGTCTTGTGAACTGAAAGCTTCAAGCAGCTTTTAGCAGGAGTTTCGAGCATACTGGGTGCTGGGCCGGACTGAAAGATGGCTTGATCCTCGTGAAAAGAAGCCGATTACGTTGGAAGAAGCGTAAATGAGTCCTTCCCGCTAGGCCACAAGGACTCGATGGCTTGAAGCCCGGATTGGTGAAAGAGAAACCAGTCTTCCAGAGTTCCTTGACTTTTTCAGGAGGAGAACCAGGTTCCATGGTGGCAGCTAGAGGACATATCGTCGCTGAAGATGTGGTGAAGATGTTTTTGGACTTTGTATTCTGATTCAGAAACAGTTGGAGGAGGATGCAGACCGGTTGATGGCTCCGAAAATGCCATTTCGGGTTGAACAGGTCTCCCCCCCCTCCAGCGAGGAACTGAGCTAAAGGCTTAAGGAATCTATATAAGGAGCAAATGCTCACCCCGACGACCTGCTGTCTGATGCCCGCCTACGCCCAAGGTGAAGAAGTTAGGTTACGCCTTGTTTGATGCCAGGAGTGTTTTTTTGACAGCTTGTGCATGATGCTTCGCATTGATTTCCCGGAAGTGGTCTTTGTTGAAGGACATCAAGAGGGGACATCATCAATATGCGTGAGAACAATGAAAACTATGTTGTCAGCAAGGCTCATCTGCTCAAACCCGTGGAGCACTCTGTGAACACAAAAGTCTGCTGCAATCTGTGAGGTTCGCTTTCTGTATGACCTCGTTGGTGGAAGATACCGCATTCGGACCAAAGTGTTGGAGGCACAAAACTTGACACATTTCATTGGTCCCATTGGTCCCATGTGTGTATGATGCCTAGCCGCAACACTGCAGAGTGTTTATGCGAGGTGCAGACACCAAAACGCTACCAGATAAATGAACGGCTTGCTGGTTTGGCACCAGCCTCAATCTTCAAGACGCTGATGTGTGAGGGCTTCATGCCTGATCTCACAAAACCGCTCAATTGTTTTCGATTGATCCCAATCCCATTGTGCTGTTTTGTCTCATTGTGCTGATCCCTGCAATGGCAAGGTGCCCAGTGAGAGGAGATAGTGACAAAGTCTGCAAGGACCTGTGCTAGCAGGTCCAACAAGCCATGTGCATGCTCTAGGCTTATGAATGCTTTCTCTTGAAATAGTGTCAGACAAACATGCAGGCGACATTTGTATATATATATAATTTTGTAGATATATATATATATAGTTTTTCCTCAACGAATTCATTTTGGAACAAATCTAATTGCTTGCCTTGATCTATAAGTTAAGGAGAAGTAGAATAGGGACGGGGAAGTTGACGTGGAATTGTTTTCTTTTTTGAAGTTGAGATGTCTAAAATCACAGGCCATGCATCATACGGCAAAAACCGTGCGACACGACACACAGAACAAAACTCATCAAACTCACTTCATTTCATCACGTTTCACATGAATCAAACAGCTACAGCACTCGTGGGACCTAAGACACTGGATGCTTGGTTCCTGCTTGGTGCCTTCAGATCATTTCCTAGCTATAGGCCCAGTGCCATTTTGGATAATACCTGCAAGACGATGCAAAAGCATTGTACTGCCCCAGTTTTGGCCCCTGCTGCTTGTTGTGGTATGGTGGTCCGATGCTTTCGCGGCGGGCCATCCAGGAGCTTTCAGTGCCACAAACGGTTGCTGATACGTTTTTCGTCTACAGTGTACAGATAGCAAGAAAGCACTCTAATGGCACTGAAAGCTTTGCTTGGCCTTGTTTTCCAACAAGAAGCCGCCAATCCGCTGACCTTTTCGGGAAATGCTTCTGACCTTCACCTTAGAAAGGACACACTGTGAAAGCATTTACGAAGGTTTTCATGAGAATGGACAATGACAATATAAATGTGTGTTCTGCTTTCCTGCAGGCATTCTTCAAGAAGATCACTCATTGTCATGTATGTAGCAACACCTTTTTACTGTAATTCAGTTGTCTTGCGTTGGCATCGCCTATTGCTAAAGCATTGACTGGTGACTTTTGGTGTACACCAAATCACAAAAAACAATGAATACAAGCCGTGACATTAGTTTACCAACGAATCGGTTTCAAAGGCTTTGCAAAGACCAGAGTCGCCGAAATTGCCCTTCAATGACCCAAGCATCGCTGCAGGCTGAGTATATTGGGGTACATACAAAGTAAAGGAAAAAAGGGAGGCATAAAAAGGAAGGTAAGGGTCCCTTTGACAATAAAGCCCTTCAAAGGTACCTTCCTTTTTCCTATACAACATGGGTGTTTCTTTTTTGTCCAAAGTCCAGTAGCACAACGTTTGCAAGGCGGCGCCGCCCCTCTCTCAGGGCTGTGGTCGTTACCTGCGGAAAAAAAAACCGGTCAATAAAGGTCTAGGATCTGGCCTCATTGAGGCCTGAATGGATGCAGTGCGATGTGAATGCCTGCAAGGTTCTGGAGGATGCCAAATCTGAGGGAGTGCATAGACTGATCATAGCCGTTCATGGTTTCTAATTTAGATAAGTATGTTTGATTCCGATAGGAGCACAGTTTCAAGCCAAGTCGAAAGGAAGTGAGCACGCAGATTTCGTCCAATTGTCGGACCTTGGGTGCCAACCTGGAGGGAGTGAGGCTCCGAGACTATGTGAGGCGCATTCGAGAGCAAAGTTGCACATAGTTTCCATTGAATCTCTTTGAATAGTTGAATATGAGAACAATCACGAGCAGACATTGTTCATCTTCCAATTTAGGTTTGTCGCCACGCTTTGCAACGGCTGCCAGCTGAGGCGTGCTTTGTCAACAATCATGCTTTGCTTTGTTCTTCATTTGATGCTGCCCTTGAATCAGGAAAGCTCTGCAGTGTGCGCAATGACCTCAGCCAGCTTTTCTTGTGCACGGGGTCATACAGCGCTGTTTGAAGAAGCCTTTTGTTTGTCCTGTTGAAGATGGGGCTATGCGACATTGTCTTCAAGCTCAGGCTAGCGCTTGCACCGAGTTTATCTCAACCTTTTCCAACTTTAGCGTTGCTTTGTTGGCTGTTGCGGGGGATCTTGAGTTGTGGCCTCAGCAAAATGTAATCGAGTCGAAGGTTTTCTTGGCCTTTCTGCATTCCAAGGACCATTGTGTCCCAGCCTTTGCAGAAGGCAATAGCCACTTTGGTCGAGGAGACTACAGGACGAGCAAAGCACCTGCACCAGGCAGTCCTCTTCCATGATTTGACTATTTTGTCATTGTCATTCTTGCACGCCACTTCGGTGTGTGGCATGTGAGCTGTTGTTTTCTCTTTGCCTCAGGTGAAGAAGAGATTTGCTGAGTTGCAGGATGCAACCCTTGTGCTCTAAAGACTCACAAAGCGAGCGGTTAATGTGAGACGCTGTGGTGCTCCTGGCTTGCAGGACAAATACGCCAAGACTCAGCAAAAGACGATAGAAGCAAAATCAAAGCATACCCCTCAGCATTTGGAAAGAACAACTGCTTTGAGCCGGGATTCTTTGGGTGCCTGAGGCTTGCCAGTGGAGGCGTACCAGCTTGGGATGTTTTGTTGTTTTTTCCTTTTTAGACCACCGCGCAGAGAATTTGCCCGGTGGTTTCAGAAGGTGACAGGCGTTGGACATGGCGCAAAATGTTGAGAACTCAGCAGATCCATGAGAAATCTGTGGAGTCAGAGCCATGAGCTGTTGAACAAAGTGGACAAAAAGGAAGATAAGGCCCTTCTTTAATAGTAGCTCTTGTTAAAGAAGGCCTTACTTTTTCACTTCTTTCCTTTGATTTTGTGTTGCAGCCGGCAGGGACAAGACAGCTGTTGACCAGTGCCGCGCACAGTGCAGCGAGGGCAGGGAGAAAACCGCCAGAACGTAACCGTAAGTTGTATTTCTTTTTTGTTTTGCATTCTATTTTGGTTGTGACGTGTCTGACCGAGGCATGCCGCGGTTTGTGATCTTGCTCGATGTGAAGAGGCGGGAGAGTGGCAGAGGGAAGTTTAACCGGCCTTGGTGTTTCTGTGGTACCGAAAGTGGAAGAGATTCCAACAGACAGTTAGTAGCATTTTCCTGGCTAGTCCAGCAGTGCAGAGAGTCTAGCTGTTGCCTTCAATCTCTGTCTCTCTCTCTCTCTCAAACTATACGGATCCTGGAAATTCGCCAACCTGCCACTACCCTACCCCAATTTGGCAGAGGAACACTATTGGGTTCCAAGCGACCGTGCAGTGACCCTCGGCTCTTCCTTTCTCAGATTGCGTCATATTTTCTTCACAGCCTCAAGTGAGGCCAACGCTTGTGGTACACTAGTTACACTAGTAGCAAGGACGCTACTAGTAGCTCCTGGCATCGCTACTAGTAGCAAGAACGCTACTAGCAGCTTGACTAGTAGCAAGAACGCTACTAGTCACTAGGCTTTGTTGGCTTCAATTCTGTATCATACATCACAAAATACTGTTATGAAACATGATATTATATAACATTAGTATGTACTATTGGTGCAGCGCATCCGCCTGCTCAGCCTGGCGATTGTTGAAGTACCATCCATTGCCTGCGCCAGGAACTGTTGGAGAGCGAAGCCTGCCTACGCAAACTGGAGGCAGAAAAAGAGCAGGGTCTTCAAACGGGACGGATAATGGACGACAGCGGATGTTGTGAGGGTGTTGAGCAGATGAGTGCACACCAGTGCTGCGCACGAGAGGATGAAAGCAGGGAGCGATTGGCACAGCTGGACATGGACAAAAAGGCAGGGCGGTAATGTTTCATTGCACACATACAATTGAAAGGCTTGAAAAGAAAAAAATCCTAAGGTTGAAACAAAAGCACAGAAAAAGAACAGGACAGATAGAAGTGTTAGGCAATTTGTTGGATGAGGCTATGTTGCAGCGAGTTCTCCAGCAGGGAAGATGTTCCCTTCGCCGGCTGTTAAGCGTTGCGGATGAGGTGCAACGGTCTATTCCAAGTCAAGAGTCACAGACGATTTGGTGTTATTGCTCTTAGGTTGGAGGCCATCGCTATTAGGTTGGAGGCCATCGCTAATAAGTTGGAGGCCATCGCTATATTCTAGATTCTAGGTTGGAAGCCGGCGCTAGTAGGTTGGACGCCATTGCTATAAGGTTGGAGGCCATTGGTATGAAAGGTTGGAAGCCAACGCTAGTTAGGTTGGAGGCCATCGCTAGTAACTAGTAGGTTGGAGGCAATCGCTAGTAGGTTGGTGGCCATCATCGCTAGTAGGCTAGGTTGGAAGCCAACGCCATTAGGTTGGAGGCCAACGCTAGGCCATTGCTAGTAGGTTGGAGGCCATTGCTATTGGGTTGGAAGCCATAGTTAGTAGGTTGGAAGCCATCACTGTTAGGTTGGAGAACATCGCTGAAAGGTGGGAGGCCATCGCTAGTAGGTTGGAGGCCATCGCTATTAGGTTGGAGGCCATCGCTAGCAGGTTGGAGGCCATTGCTAGTAGCTTGGAGGCCATCGCTACTGGCCAGTAGGTTGGAGGCCATTGCTATGAGGCCATCGCTCCATCGCTATTAGGTTGCAGTCCATTGCTAGTAGGTTGGAGGCCATCGCTATTATTAGGTTGAAGTCCATCGCTATTAGGTTGGAGGCCGTCACTAATAAAATTATGTGGAATGTAAGCCATCGCTATCAGGTCGGAGGCCATCGCCAATAGGTTGGAGGCCATCGCTAGTAGGTATTAGTTAGGTTGGAAGCCATCGCTATTAGGTTGGAGGCCAACGCTAGTTAGTAGGTTGGGGGCCATTGCTAGTAACCAGTAGGCGGAGGCCATCGCTAGTAGGTTGGAGGCCATCGCTAGTAGGTTGGAGGCCATCGCTAGCAGGTTGGAGGCCATCGCTAGCAGGTTGGAGGCCAGCGAGACGATCGCTAGTAGTTTCGAGGCCATCGCTAGTAGGTTGGAAGCCATCGCTATTAGTTGGAGGCGGTCGCTAGTAGGTTGGAGGCCATCGCCATTAGGTTGGAGGCCATCGCTAGTAGGTCGGAGGCGATCGCTAGTAATTTGGAGGCCATGGCTAGTAGGTGGGAGGCATTGGAGGCCATGGCTAGTAGGTGTGAGGCCAATGCTAGTGGAAGCCCTCGCTATTAGGTTAGAGGCCATCGCTAGCAGGTTGGAAGTTTGGAAGCAATCTCTAGTAGTTTGGAGGCCTTCGCTATTAGATTCCGTATGCTATTAAATAAGGTTGGAGGCCATTGCTATTAGGTTGGAGAGGTTCCAAGGCAAGAGTCACGGACAATTTGTTGTTGGATGTTGGATTGACACAGGTTCCTGCCCTAGAAGATTTTCAGGGAGCCCGCGCCACAGCTTGGCCTAGATTCCTTACTAGCAACGCTTTGGTCTCAGTAGCTATTCAGATCTATTCAGTGTTCTTTTGTCTTTATTCTTCACGAAGGGCAAGGGCTGCTTGCAGAAGCCTGTGTTTATATAGTCTGACTGCTCTGATCTGGCCTTGGTTGTAGGCCGCCTGTCCTGATCTGCTCAACGACAACCGTACAGCCATTTTTTGCTCCACTTGCTCTGCTGTCAAGTGAGGTAATGCCGGGTGCTGACTACTCTGCTTGCTTGAAGGAGGCCGAGTGGAGTTTTAGGGCCTAGGGGCACGCTGGTACTTTTCAATGCCGATAAGCGTCGATAAGCGCAGTCTCTTCTAGGTAGAGCCAGAAAGGGCCGCAGGCAAGGGCCGTGGCAAAAAGCATCGTAAGATGTTTTGTGAACCTCATGACGGCAGCAAGTTTGGAAGGCCAACCCCATTCAGACGAGATTCCTGTGGAGATTCAACAGGCCGCTTCTCTTGCGCATTCTCTTGCCTTGTCCAGCTCAAAAAAGCAACACAGATCCTATTATATCAAGTGTTGGGTCTTGGGTAGACTTGGTCGCACGTCTATCACCATAGCCGCCTACATTTGTACATTTTGGCTCAAGAGCCAAAACGGGGAGTGGAGTTTCTGCTCGAGGATGGGTTCAGCAGTTTGTGTGTGGGCGTGCGCCTATACATATATACGCGCGGCAGTGCATACTGAGGCGCGGGTTCTCACCCCGGCTGCCTTGGCAGAGTTTTGCCACCTCACCCAGAAGACCCGGTCGGGGTGCTATGCCTTTGGGATTCGGTCTTGGCTTTTGAGCGCTTGGTTTGTGTGGCCTGTCCCGCTCTTCGGCGTCAGGCTTGCTCTAAATCAGGTGGCCCCCAGCGTAAAAAAGATGCAAGGCTGGTTTTACTTACTGTATTGGGACCTGCCTGGAATTGCTGGCGGCGCAGACGACCTTGTGGGTAACGCTCAGAAACGGATTTTTGGGACTCCTGGCCATGCTGACCCTTTGCGACTGGGAGGCCCGGCAATGTCTTCAGCCCTTGAAGCCCTCTTCCAAGAAATCCCACACAGCAGCTCTCTTGATGGAACTGGTGATGCTTCTCCATCGTGAAGGCTGCACTGTGGCCCCGAGCCACATTCAAGAGCGAATTCAATCAGCGGCGGATGACCTGACTCATCCAGATTTTAAACGGTTTCGCACTAGACGCTCGACTCCCCGTACTCCCAGGCATTTTTTCATCAACCATTTGCTTGCTGAGGGCTTTCGCCCTGGATGCTGTACCTAGCCCTCCCATGGTCCCGTGACCGGGTCCGGCGGGTGAGCCAGGGCGTACCCTCCCTTCCTGCCTCGGAGAGGGCACCAGGGTGTTCTCAACCCTTACCGCGGGAGATGGGAGATGGGCATTTTTGCTTTCCAGTGCATTTCGCCCCCCCTCTCTTTTTCTTCCAGCGTTGGATATTGGGAATGGGCGCTGTCCCGGTCGAAGTGGTCGGATGCCAATAGCTGGGACCAGTGGTGCAAATCCCAAGGATTTACCAGCGCGATAGCTTTCCGAACTTGGTACATATACTTTGGCAACGCCAGCGCTGAGCCCAGTGGCACAGGGGTTTGGAGCGACAGGAAAATGAAGAGCGTGCAGCGGGTGCCGGGTAGCGGATACATGTATTTTATGGTGTTTCTCATTTGGCATTGTTGTGCTCTTGTCCTCCTCTGAACTCTGTGGCTGACCTCTGTGGCTGGGCTCTGTGTCCAGGCCTTGTCCTCCTCTTGTCCTGTGGCTGGGCTCTGTGTCCGGGCTTTGTCCTCCTCTTGCTGGGCCTTGTCCTCTTCTTGTGCTCCTCTTGCTTTGTCTTGGCCGCGCCCTGAACTGTTGTGGCTTGGCTCTGGCTCTGTGTCCGGGTCTTGTCCTCTTGTCCTTGTCTTGGCCGCGCCCCTGAACTCTGGGGCTGGTCTCTGTGGCCCGGTTTACTGTAGAGGAGTGTGGCCAAACATATAGGGATGTCAATGCCGACCAAAATTCATTGATGAAGCAGTTTGCTCTTGGGGTGAAGGTAGGGCATACCAAGTCTAAACGAATCGTTTTGAAGCCGTTTGGGGTCTATGCTTGTATAATTTCTCAGCAAAAAGGTCTTGAACGGCCATTCAAAAGGATCTTTTGGGGTTGCACTGGTTGCGTATATTATTTACACACTGATTAGTCATATCCCCTGTCATCTGCCCTTGAGATGCAGAAACCTTGACAACTTTCAACGAATTGTCAGAAACTTTGGAATTCTATTCTGCAATATATATAGGTGGAAAAATGGGGACCGGTTGTCAGGAGGCGCTTCCTGACAGGCTTTCTCAGTATCTACCAGGCCCGCAGAACGGTTTTCGCCGGGCATTCTATTACTGTCTGCCGTTGGAGGACCAGATCTAGATGAAGAGAGTGACAGGGATGTCGAGGCCTGGAAGTCTTCAAAGCAAGGCTTTTACCAGGGCTTTGCTCGAACAGGTTGTATGAATTCCCAATAATTCCTTATGCGATTGTTTAAAGGTCTAAGATGCTCGAGCACGCATCAATTTTGCAAACAAACAACACCAGAATCACAAGCGGAATTGCGTTTGGGGTAGTGTTCTGTTCGATTGAGGAGCCACGCTTTGAAGTATGTCGTAATATAGGGAGAAACATTTTTTAGGGTATGCGCTGTAATGCTTTCGCATGCGCAGATGCCCATTTCCGAGTTTGTTTGTTCCATCTGATTCTATCCCATGCGCAGTTTTTCTATTTGTTTGCTCAACTTGACCATTCTCGTCTCGTTGTCTCCATCTCATCTTCATTCCATTTCTGCTCGCTTCATCTTATGATCTGACAATGTCCATGTCAGGTCAGTGCTGCTGCTTTGGCAACGGGTTGGTCGCCAGATTCGCCAGCCTTCGAGTTGACAGTCCAAGTTGCATATTGTGTAAGTCGCAATAGGTCGCAATAGCATTGCGTTTATCAATTGGTCCATTTTGTGTTGGGGGGGAAGAACCCTTCTGCGTGGTCAATGTGGTTCCTTGCTTTTTGCCGCTAGGTTGGAGGCCAGCGCTAGTAGGTTGGAAGCCATCAATAGTAGGTTGGAGGAGGTGACTTGGGAGCAAGTTGTTGCGATGCCAGGACTTCTTCCAGGACATGGACATGCAAGCGTTGCAGGTTTTCATACAATACCTGGAAAACTTGGACGTGCTCGCAGGAGCAGATTGGGCAGGCAAGGATCACTTGTCTTTGAAAGCGCGCGGCTAAGATCTTGTATATATAATCCACACACATTATATATATATATATGCAGTATAGAGGTATATGCTCGCCCTCCCTAGAACCTACCTCAAGCAAGGAGGAATACAATCCTATTCATTTCCAACAATGACATCTGAGCTATTTGTCCACGCCTGCCGTATTTCATTTGCTTAAATGCAACATCGAAAACATTTGGCCCCTCAACGAAGCAAAGTCAGAAAAAGTAATAATAAGAAAACAACAGTGCTCAGAAGAAAACAAAACAAGAACCCTCAAGGATACTAAGACTAGAGACAGATCCAGGACTGCTGTCTGAGGCTCCCCCCAAAGACTTGGGCTCCTCAGAAAAACAATTCAAACAATCAAGAAAACTCAAACAAGAAACTCGAGAGAACCACACAAAAAAAGCATCTTGCCTGATCCCCCCGTCTCGCTCCACACCATCGTTTTTCAGACGCCAATGTCACAGAGGCTGCTGTTCGCTTAGGGTCAATATGGAATTTTGTGGCACGCGCTCCACTCGGCTCTCCTCCTCCTACATCCCCGCTTCTTTTAGCACCTCACGCACGCGCGGACGCGCGCGCACACACAAACACAGACGCACACGCACACACACACACACACTTAGATATAGAGCTCAACTGGTCGAGCGTTCATCATTAGTGATTCCAGATGCACTAGCCCTTGACCTCACAGCACTCAGACCTTGACTTGAAAACGGCATGGCGAGAAGTCAGCCAAACCAGCATTGTTTGAACATCGGCGCACTAGCTCTTTAGGAAAGAGTGGGGTAATAGCTGGTCAACATCGCGAAAAAGCAGGTACGTCGATTTTGCGTCTCAAATCGATATCACCAGCACGCATCCAGTGTCTTCGTTGGTGCAAGACTGGATGGGCTGCTTGCGACCCCACCTGGAGATTAAACTCAAGCATTCGAGAAACAAACCCTTGCAAACAGAGTGCGGCGCACACACACTCTGACATGGGTTTTCAGTTACACTCAATTTGCCGAGGAAAGGAATGGCTCAACGGCAAGGTGAAGAGTCCGATCAAATTGAAGGTGTTTTCAACAAAAGGTTTGTGCGCATCTGCAGACTCGCGACAGCAGCGGACGAACGGCGAACGGCAGCTGAAAGGCGGCCGTGGGAAAACCTGTTTGTGGGAGGTATCATGAACAACCATGGAAGCAAAAAAGAGGAAGATTGGAGTAACGGCTTGTGAACAGTTCGGCAGGTACACAGTCAGACGTCTCTGACTGCTTCCCTCGACGCACCATAGCTTCGTTGCGTCAGGTAGGTGTGTCGAGCCTGACGCCCCTGCTTGTGAAACAGTGGTATTTGTGAAGGTGGTGGCGAACCCTTCGACACAGGGGTTGACACACACAGGTCGCCGTAATCGGCGCTTTTTCAAAAACCGGCTGCAAGCAATTGGGTTGTGTCCTTTTTGGACGTAGAGCTTCACTAGCTCAGTGGCAGCAGCGTCAGCGCTGGAAGGTGGAAAGGTGCATTTATGGATGGTGTGAAGTCTGGATTGGAGGCCTGACAGAGCCAAGCGCTGGCTCCCGGCGCTAGTTGCGTCCCTGATTTTCCAGGGTTGTAGAGGTTGAATGTAGGTGATAGTACGTTGTTGTAGGTCAATGTTGAAGCCCAGGAGGTGGAAATCGTCAACTGGTTCAAGTTCCACTGGGTCTCCAAAGAAGTTGTGATGGATGAGGGTTTGAATGGCTGGGTGGTGGAGGAAGTGTTCGTTGTGGACAATGAATCTGTTGTCGACATATCGGTAGTACGCAAAGTGCAGGTCGGTGTGTTGGAGTAGGTTGTTGTGGATCTGGTGCCAGGAGTGTTCAATGAGGGTGATGGCGACGTTGCATAGGGCTGGAGAGAGTTGGGATCCAATCCCAGCCCCTCGGATTTGTTTGTAAGTGTTATTGCGTGCCCGGAAAATGCAGGTGTCGAGTGCGTAGGCGACAATGGTGGTAATGTCGGAAGTCTGGATGGTACGTTGTGTGGGGTGTTTTAGGTGATGTCGGCCGATGTGGGAGTGGTGGAAGGGGTTGCCTGTTGCTTGAACGTCCACTGTGAGGGTGTGTGTGGATTGTTGTGTTTGCCAGTGGTGAATCATGGAGTGGACTGCGTCGATAAGACGATGCTGGGGAACGGAGTTGAAGTCTTTGCGGAAGCCCCACTTGTAGCGGGTGCGTAAAATGGGGGGAACAGTGGCTTTGAGATGGTCGTGGATGTTGGTGACTTTAAGGTATGGAAGTGGTTCAAAAAGTTCGGGAGATTGCCATGTGTTGAGGGCGCCGGTGAGGGCAGAACAGTCGGAGTTGCTGTAGTTCGTGGTCAGCATGGTGAAGTACTGTGTGTGGGCCAAGATATTCTTGAAGCTGACGGAGTAGGCGAGCTGTAAATCGGGGTTGTTGTTTGAGATGGGTGTTGTGGAGGCGCCATTGGTGCTCGAGAAAAGGTTCCAAATGTTGGGTAAGGGATGGTGGAAGCCCTTGAAGCTTGAGCCATTTTGTGTAGGCCGTTTGGAAAGTGAGGAAATAACGTGCTTTGCTGGGATAGTAGGTGCTGTTCATGTTGGCGTTGAAAAAAATGTTGAGGTGTGGTGGGAGATGTAGTTGGTCTAGTGTAAAAATGTAGTGGCCGTTGGTGGTCGGTGTGTCTGGATCTTGGAGGAGACTGCGAAGGTGGTTGCATGCGCATGGTAGGTCTGCTGGATCAGGTGGCGATTGGAGAGTGTCCTCCCAGGTGCGGTGGTTGTGGAGCTGGGATCGAAGGGTCTTGTGGGCTGCTTCACGTAGGCGATGAGACGGGAGGTGGAGGGGAATGGCCAAATGTTTTATGACGTAAAATAGCAGATAAGACAGGGGCCTCTTAAGCTCGCTTAAAGCTCGCCCAAAACTCGTTTTCAAGCTCGCTTAAAGCTCGCTTGTGCTGTGCTGATGTCCAATGGAAGCTCAAGAGTCAACAGGAAAGTCCAAAGCAAATTCAACTGATCATTAAAAAGTTTAAGCAAAACTCAGGGAAAGTCCAATTAAAGCTCGCGCAAAAGTAGTTTCCCGTGGCGTGAGCGTCGTGGTGAGTTCGGTGCTAGTTTATTTCAAGCTAAGCTCGCAGAAAGCTCGTGAAAAGCTCGTGCGCGTTCAGTTTTTGAGCTTCGATTTGAGCTTTTGTCTAGTTTTCTTCTACCAAAGCTCGTCAAAAGCTCGTCAAAAAAGCTCGCGCAAAGCTCGCCCAAAACTCGCTGAGCGGGCGCTTCCCTGGTTTCCCTAGCTCCTTGAGTTTCGCTTGAGCTTTCCTTTGAACCTGTGAGTTTTGCTTGGACCTGGCCTTGAACTTTTGAGTTTTGCTTGGACTTGCCTGGTGAGGGGTGAGTTTTGGTTGGACTTTTGAAGTGAGTTTGGACTTTGTTTTTTATTTTTAAGTTATAGACCCCCTTGTCTTATCTAGCTATTTTACATCATAACAAATGTTTGTGTTGCTGAATGGTGGTGCGGAGCCACTGTTGGCAGTGTTTTGTGAAGTCGTCGTGCGCCAGGAAAGGCACTGTGAGCGGGATGTTTGGCTTGGGTGGTGTAAGATTGCGGAAAAGGAGGGCTTTGTTGATGATGTGGAGAGCTCTGCTGCGGCCTGGTTCTTCGAGATTGGCGGCCATGCGCCTGATGGCGTAGACTTCTAGGTCTGTATGGCGGCCGCTGCGCAGTTGTTTTGCTGCTTCAAAGGAGGCTGCCGTGTGTTTGGTGAGGTTGCGGAGGAGTGTGAGAGCGTAGTGTTTGGTGGAAGTGTAAAGGTGTGGTTCTCTGATGGTCTGTTGGCGTAGTCGTAGTCGTCGAAAGAGACGTTTGTGAGTGGCCAATCTGGAGTAAAAATGCGCTCGATGTTTGGTGAATTGCCAACCTTGGGCTTTAAGCTTGAGGTGGTGTGAGATGAAGGGCCAGTTGAGTGTAGGCATCCAGTTGGCAATGTGATGGTGTTCTTGGATCCAGGCCTGATCATAAGTGTCGTGGGAGGTGAGCTGAATGGTGGTGTAGTGGTGAATGTTGTTGTGGGAATGCCAATAGCGTAAGGAGAGTTCTGCTGAAACTGGGATATTGTTCTGGAGTTGCTTGAGCTTGGCTCTGCGGTTGTGTTCTCTGTGTGGAATGCCAATGGCTGTAGAGCCGACGTAAAAGTGGCCATGCTGGTGGTAACAACGATGTGGTGGAGTGGGGTTGAAGTAGAGTTTGACGTAAACGGAGTTCTGGGAGAGAAAGTTGTGGTAGTGGTAGGTATGTGGAAGGATGTGGAGCTGGCGGAGCCACTGTTGAGATCGGTGTGTTGTGGATGGATATGCAAAGAGTAGTGTGATGTGGATGAGGCCAGTCGTAAAGATGGCCTCTGCTCATTCCAATGTATTGGGTGTGATGGATCAAAATGGATAAGGCGCGGTGGAGGTGAAAGAGGTGTTGAATGGTGGTATGGCTGGGTTGCTGCTGGCTGAGAATAGCGAGTCAGCAGCCAATGGCTGCGCCTACGCTGACCAGGTGTTGCAGGCTGCGGATGGGCAGGCGGTTGACGCGACCGAGAGGGAGGCCATAGCGAACGACGTCGGTGGCGATCGTGTCTGTGGTGGTCGGTCTTGCGGCGGCTCTTGTGATGGTGGCGGCGACTGCTGTGAGGTTGATAGGAGGATGGTTGGGCTGGTGAAGCTGTGTTGGCCGATGCCCCGGCGGCGGGGTCAGGGGTAACGGTGGCCGGTGGCGCCGAGGCGATGGATGGCGATGGAGAGGGTTGTGTGACAGTGGCCGTAGTCACTGGGTTGGGAACTGGATTGTTAGGGACTTGTGGTGCAGGTTGCTGGTGTGGTTGTGGGTCTTGTGGTGAATCACTGAGTGCCAGTTGGGGTTGTGATGAAGGATGTTGCAAAGGTGGCGTAACCGGGGGGAATGCTGAAAAAGGTTGCCATACCCCTTGCGGCATGTGCCACTGGGGTTCTGTTGGTGTGGTAGC